CTACTGAGGTAACACAATGCAGAGAAAGAATATACCTACCTGAGGCAGCATGGAGAAGTGTGAAAATGAGTTCATTGATTCACTTAAGGAATGTTACAACATTGAGTTTCACTGTGTAGTGTTAGAGTGTGTGTGCCCTGCTTTGTCGGTCTTGAGAGTAATAACTGCCATTGCTTTTTCGTGCTTCCATGTGGGACATGTGATGTCCTCGGTAGCTCCTTGGTGTCAATGAAGCCTCACCTACCTTTGTAGGAACTCCAAAAACTGCTACTTATTGAGTAGTGCTTAGGCCAACTCAGGTTGGCTCAGTGATGTTTTCTGGGTATAGAGAAAAATCCATACCAGACTCCCAATCTCTAGAGCTACATAAATTTGCATTGCCTTGAGCACTACACCTTTAGACATAGCCATAGAAAATGAACAGTACCTGGATGTGTAGTATTTACAGACTACATTAAATAAATAAAGAATTTAAGCTATAGGATAACAGAAAATGCAAATGTCCAAAGCTTGTTTTGTGAGTTAAAATAAGACAAACTATGCATACTTTCTTTGTAGTTACTTTTACTGGAAAAACAAAACAAAACATTTTTTTTTCAAAACTGTCAAAATAAAAAAAACCAATACACAAGACTGCATAATCATTTACAAGTACTGGCAGTTGCAGTTAAAGGTCGGTAGACTCGTTGCACACTCGTTGCACACTTGCACAGAACCCCATCTCAGTAGTCTCTTCTATAGGCAGTGCACTTGAAAGGCAAATCTCAGAGCTGTTGGCTGGATTCAAAGTCCTGTTAGCCAACCTCACAGCGTTCTACCATAGAATCACATCAAACCTCAGCCAGGAACTTTTCCACCAAGATTTCTCTCCATGGATGCAGCTTAAAATTTCCCATTCTTTCTATACCATACCAGCTTCATTTGTCATCAGAGGTATCACTAAACATCACCAATGCCCTTCCTATGTGTTACGCTATATAATCTCTTCATCCATACATGACTTCTCCAGTCTTCACATTCCCTTCAACCACCACTGTCTTTACAAGAATAGAACTTAGATGTAAATACATAAACACACATCTTCAAAGGGGAGGAAGGACCACCTGCTAGAAAGGGGATGCAAGCATTAGCAAGTAGGTAAACTAGGGAACCCTGGAAAGGACATTATGCCATTAACACTAGCTTGAAAAAAGCAATGCAGAAACTTGGAGAAAAATCATACTAGATGTGTATGTATTTTATTCTGCACCATTATGAGTTAAACCGGAATTAATGCAATAATATATTCACAGCATGAAATACTGGATGGTAACAGCTTAGAAGCGCTGCTGTGAACGCTGTTGTCTTTGGAGACTTAGGGCATACAAAGGAGTCCACTTTTCAGAATCCTCCCCTTGGGCCTTACACTCATACATATCACAGACGGACATGCTTTCTTTCCAGAGGACCAGAGTACAATTCTGATTAGATTCCAGTTCAAGGCACCACTGAACAAATACTACATGCTTTATTAATTATGTTATGCACCTGTAAGGTCTATTTCAGACCCAGAAGTTAATATATATGCGGTCTTTTGATAATATATAGTTTACCTATGTATACATCTCCTTAGAAATTATGTAAAAGCCTAACGTTTATGGATTTAATTTTTATAAGCAGTTTCCTCAAATAAACTTACACATAATTTCCCCCTCGACAGTACTGATAAAATACAGGGCACCTTTTTCTTTCAAGTATTTGGGTAAAATAACATACCCTGAGAATTTGGGGTGCAAATCTACACCTTGTAAACTGTAGACTGAGACTCTTCAAGCACCACATAGGAAAATATATACCATGATAGTTTTAAATACAAAGAGTATCATTGGATGTGTTTTTCCATGCATATATACACACTTACCATGAGATTATAGTCAATCTACTTGGAAATCAACACTGTACACACTCATCATGAAAACATAGTCATCCACTTAGGAATTAATACTGTCCTGCAGTTCAAGGTATATTTCAGGTTATATGAGCTTTCACTTTGTGAGAAATACAGGCTTTTTTTCTACTGTGGGTGAAGACAATCAAATTATATTAAACATTTTTTAAGAAATGAGTAAAAAAGTCAAATCTGAAAAAAAGAAAAAGCTGTTTATAGCACTAGACATTTTCTAGTGACAGAAAATGAATTTGAAATGCTTGTTAATATTTGAGATTTATCATAAAGTTGTCAAAGAATAATTTATTTTGCTTACTTATTCTGTAATAGACACATTAGTACTAAGGGATTTAATCTTGGTCTTCCTTTATTCCTGATGGAAGTTTCACTGAGTGTTTAAGAAAATACATTCTGATGAACAAAATTTTCATGCTGATTACAAATGTGTTCAGTTTTCAAGAAACAAGTCAAATGAGGCCAGTTCAACAGGACCCTGTTATCCACAGGGAAAAAGAGGAAATGGGTCAAAATTTCTGCCTTACAGTCTTTCTGGACACTGAGCCTCACACACAACTTTGAGAGAAAGTCGCAAAAGCCAGGCCACATTCTGATTACATTCAGGCTCAAGGCTCTGTTTAGAAAATTTTTTATAGGTTTTATGATATAAAACATGAAAAGTCATTCAATAATTAAGGGACCTTGTTGGGGGCAACTGCATCTTGTGTTGGACGGCTTCACAGATCTTTGTTTCACTCCACTTTGGTTGCAAAGGGAAAGCGCAGACACTGCATTCAAAGGTCCTTGAAAACTCAAGAAATGACAAAACAAAGAGAGGCTTGGGATTCACCTGGGCCTGTGACAATGCTCTTTCCCTGTCACTGGAGGCAGTAGATGGCCTAGCAGCTAAAGAATCACAGAGCTGTGAAATTATCAATAGCTGCTTTGATACGCATGAAGCATATGTTTAAAGTTTTCTTTTTGAGCACTTGGACATTTACTGCATGCTTGGCAACTTACAGAGGTCTTAGCCTTTTGCATAAAAGCCACACATGAGAAATTATTTCTTTTCCAGTTTATCTCCAACAGTGTGAGAATTCAAGGCTCAGATTACCTGATGTTAAATATTGATAATAACTTATGGGCCCCCAGGATCTGGACTCTACTACATTTTCTGAGGAGGGGGGAGTCTCTTTGTGGGAGGCTGGAAAGCAGTAACTGCTGGGCACAGCCACTGGGCTTCTCCAAAAGTCTTTTGGATCTCAAGCAGTCCTCCCAGTATGTGTTCTGTGTGGCCACACCCAATATGTTTCATGAGTGGCATTCAAATGTTCGAGACATCACACCTGCTGTTTTAAGAGCTATAGGTTTGAGATCTTTGAAAGAAGAAATGGATTCTTTCTTGTTCTATTAAGTGACTTTATATGGAGCCAATCTATCTTAAAAAAAATGACAGATTCTGTAGAGTTGTTTCTCAATAAGGAATAATTAAGTTCTAGACTGAATCTACTATATACGTCTTGTTTTCGTAACTTTGGCATGAAAGCATCTCCCACATCAGGAGACCATGCTCCACACCACATGCCCCAGAGGTAGAACTCCATTTCATAGTTAGTGGGACAGAGAATGAGTGAACTGTGGCCAGAGCCTACTACCTCCTGGTCCAAATCTTTCTCTTTATCCCAAAGAACTTAATTTCTTAGGGTTTGTTTTTTCCCTTTAAGTAAGGCCCTGGAAATGACATTCAATGTGTTTGTTTTTGAGTTTAGATGGAAAGCCTAATCACAAAGTAATAAAACTGTACAAACTATTCAAAAATCAGCCTCATGAATTCCATAAATTTCTCACTTCAAGAAGGAATTTTAAGCAGAAACCAAATATTGATGATCATCAGAATTAAAATAAGCCTTTAAAAAGTTACTAGAATGCTTTATCTTTAAACAGATAAGTTAGTGGAGATTTCTTAAAGAAAGCCTGAGAGAAAAGTGCCTGGGTTTAGAAGGGTATTCTATTAGAAAGTAATGAAGAAATACTTCTGTGCGGTGCTTGTTGAGAACATACTGACATACACTAGTTATAACAAGCTGAATGTATCCGTTCAATGGACACCGAGGTTCACATGAACACTCACTCAGATGCCCTCAGAATTGGGTTACAGTTTCATCAATGAAACATCATGATTTGGATTCTTAACATCTGTTAAAACGTGCAAACACTGTAATCCTGGCTTACTACTGTGGCATAGGTAGGGCTGGCGTGAACCAGAGTCACTGAAGCAGAATTCACTGTCCAAAACAGGTTTCTCCAGACTGCAAATCATGAGAGACAGGAGCTTGCAACTATGGAGGGCATCACTGAAGGGGAAAAAGTGACGCACACTCATAAAATAAAAAAAGGTTGAATTCTGAAAGGGAAACATATGCTTTCTGAGAGTAAGAACTTAATTTTCAGTGCATTTGCTGGCTTTCACATACTTCAACATGTTCTGAATGTCATGGCACTATATAAATGGGAAAAATTAGAACAAAGCCTAAGTGTTAAAACCACTGTTCATCATGATTACATTGGAAATCATGCCAAGCCTGATCTGTTGAACCCAGACAGCACAACCATAAGAATGGTGAGTTTGGTTTATGACTTGAAGTGTTAACCACCATATTTAAAGCCTAAGATTAACGACAACACTGTCATCTAGACTTGATATCATCCAAGAACCTTCAAGGTGATTGGGATCCAAATTATTGATTTGCTGGCTTGGTTTACAATAGAAACAATCAGATTCTGTTATAGTTTTGAATGACTCATGCAAATACCTCATGGACTATTTGCCTGGTCACAAGTACAGGAAGAAAAGAGGTGAGGAGAAAGCTTATATCCTGTATTATTAAAGTATAAAAGTAAATATTTTATAGGGAAAATGCAACCATTCAATCATCTTAGCAAACCTGAAGTAACAAAACTGCCTTAAGAGAGATGTCTGGGGAAATATACAAACTTACACACATAGTTTATAAGAAATAAATGTTAATGACACAATTGGAAGTTGTTCAAATGCATTCATAGTGTTCTTACAATGCAACTTTCAGGTTAAAGAACAGTCCATATTTCTGTCTTGCTCCTGAAAAAAAAAGCACAGCAAAGAAAACATGGTCAAAGAAAAGATGATTAATTCTAAAAGCACATTTCAGTTCTAGAGAAGTGAGAAAAAATTATAGTGCCCACATACACCTGTTATTTACCTAGTTGGCTTATTTCTTTATGACAATGATGGAGCTTGTATTTAAAAATGTGTTTGGTACCTGTGTTTCTGAAGCTCCTAGAATTGCTGACTTCAAGAAAGTGCCCACAAGTAGAACCTGCCCTTGAAAATGGAATCAAGTCCACCAACCATTCAAAATGATTTTATTTTTTGTTTTCCTAAAATTGACACTCAGAACTGAGTTTTACACAAAATGGCACTATTTCAAATTTACTATGTCAATAACCTAACTATGTGAATACTAAGAGCATTAAGGATTCTTGTAAAGCAAATAACCACTAATTAAATTATGTAAAATTTTATAATGTGTTCTGTTTTCAATTAGATAGACTAGCATTTAATTAAATCCATTTCAAGACAGCACTAACATATTCAAAATCTTACTGAAAAATATTTTCTTCTATCTCTATGTAAGTTTTAGTATAATCTACTAGAACTTTGCTTAAGGAATGTTTTAACACCTATAAGCTGATATTCAAATATAACATTATGTGAGCTGGAGAGATGACTCTGGTTAAGAGCACACACATGCACCATGGCTCCTGGAGGTCAGAGGACAACTTGCAGGAGTCACTTCTCTCCCACAAGGGTTCAAATTCAGCTTCTCAGCCTTGGTGGCAAGTGACTTTATCTACTGAGCTATCTTGCTGTGCCCATATTTGTTTTTTTAAAGATGTATTTATTTTTATTTTATATGTATGAATGTTTGCACGTATGTATGTGCACCACATGCATGCAGTGCCCATGAAGGTCAGAAGAGGGTGTCAGATCCTCTGAAACCGGAATTACAGATGGATATGAGCCACCATGTAGGTGCTGAGAACTGAGCCCTGGTCCTCTACAAGAGCAGCTAGTGTTCTTAAGCATGCACACACACACACAAACACACACACTAAATAAATAAAATGAACAAGTAATAACAAATATAATACCATAAAGATAGAAATAAAGGGGATTCTAGGTGATATTTATTAGGGATTAGAAGTCTCTATCAGTTGGGGCTGTAGCTCAGTGGGCAAACTCTTCCTTTGTATGTATGAGGACCTAATTTCAATCCCTAGTACTGAAAAAACAAAACAAACAAGATGTCTCTATCATGTAAAAAATAGCCTCCAGGAAGGAGTATCAAATAACAGCTCTCCAAGCAATACTATGCCATCAGAGTAGCAAGGGCATTTCAGTTCTGTCATCTAGAAAGAGGCCTGTTTGAGCATATGTTTATGAAAAAGGAAAACTAGAAGACTAGTTTTTGGCAGCTCATCTGCATATATCCCATGCGTGTCTTGCTATTTCATATTTGCAGAGAAGTGCTCTTCAGGTTAAAGGAACTGTTGGTGTCTAGAGCATGCAGTGTCACAGCTCAGCAGTCTCCTGGAGCTGGCTGACACTTGACTTGTTAAGCTTGATTTTCTACCTTAGGACATGCAGAACAGCAGACGAAGCAAGAATGTCACCACAAGGGGAGAAGTGATTGAGACTAAGAATCCTTTCAAATGCATGAAGAATTTGATAACTCTGGCTATTTCCTGTCATAAGACCTATAAAGACTCCTTGAGCAAAGTAACAGGACACCAAGAAGGAAGGAGGAGGAGGAGTCAGGAGAGCCTCCCCTTCAGGATAGTGATGGCATTCTGGGAAATGGAGGGCAGGTCTGTTTACACAATCTCCTGGGATCAGATCAGGGATCAGTGGTCCAGATTTTGGCTTCTTGGACATCCATAAGCTATTTTTTTTTTTCCTGCTTCCATTAACTTGAGAGAAATTTTGTTTGAAATCTTGAAAAATCATAAAGTTTCTCTAATTCATGTTAAGGATAAAATAATAACAGCCAATAAAACCCATCAGAGGTTTCTCCAGTGGATCCCGAGAAAGTGAGTAGAGCTGAAGTGGGCTGCACCATGTGGCTGGGCGGGGAGTGGAGGGTGTCTGCCTGGATGCCTTCCTAGGAGTTTAAGACTCAAAACACTGACAGTGTTCAGCAGGGATTTGGGTCAGGTTTTCCACTGCTCCTCACAGGCTATGCCCAGACAGAGAGGAAAATCACCACATGCAGCTGGCATGCTGGACCTGGAGTATAACATGTATACACAGCTGGAAGGCTGTGGGGGATACTAGAGTACCCTGACACCCAGCCAACTGGCCCGGACAGAGAACAGCCAGACCTGAGGGGCCTGTGGAACGGTAGCACTGCCTCTGGTTTGGGAAGCTTGAGATCAATTCTATGCATGAGCCCCTGACACTACCCTGAGTGTCTGCAAAGATAGGGCTGGTTTCCTGCTCAAATGGAGGGTCTTGAGAAGGTGGGATGACTCAGAGATAATCTCCAAAGGACATTTTACCCTTACTACGCACCATGAGTTACACACCATAGTACTGTGTACTCTTACCTTTGAAGTGTTTTTATAAATTCAATCATCATAGCTCTCCTGAAAGTAATCCCCATTTAACAGATGAGATAAATAAGGCTAAGTGGGCAAATTACTGGTCTAGGCCAATAAATAATGGCATTAGAATCAAAGTCTTGGCTGTCTGACTTCAAGTCACATGTGCTTGGCTCTGGTTACATTCACACAGCTCCCCTTCAACTAAACGCCTCAACCCATTAGCGGACCTGCTCTTTCCTGTCCATCCCAAGCCATTCACCCTATATACGTAACAAACACACCAAAGTACCACACCACTGGAGACTTGAGTCCAGGCATTCTGATCTGGCTCAGATTTCTCTTTAGAACACAAAATGCTCTGGTTAATTCTTAAAATCACAATAAAAGCACATATGGGGCTTGGTATATGCTGGATGTATTCAGACTCTAACTTACTCCCTTCTGCCTTTCCTGGCTCTTCTTTCAAACCCCAAACATGCACACATGCACACACACACACACACACACACACACACACACACACACACATCACAGCAGTGAAATAGCTAGAAGACTCAATTTCTTCTTGAGTAGGACTCTTGTTGAAGTCAAAACGATTAGCATGAGGGCAGTCAAGCCACCCCAGCTACATGTTCCTGCCTCCACTAGGACATAAATGTCACATAATTAATCCCTTACCAGGCTAACTGGCCAAGAAGTAGAATGCAGATGCTGAAATTTTTTGGAGGAGTTAAGTCTGATGCAGAAAGGACAGATAAGGGAAGAGGGGTCATTCACGGTAAGGAAGGAGGAGGGCAGGAATTAAGAAAAATGGGTGAAGAAGGGGTCTTCTGCAGTAAGAACATAGGCATGGAGCTCCAGGGGCCTGGGCTTCAGCATTGAGGCGTTATATGTTCACTTGTCTATCAGGGACTGAGATAGAACCTACTTGCTTAAATAATCCAATGTCATAAGGTTAAGTTTTGGTACAGTAAGTGACTAATACAAATTAGCTATTACTTTTCATTTTTTGTTAGACAGGATAAGGAAGGAAATAAAAAGGCAGATGGTGCACATCTGTCATCCCAGCACTTCAGAGATGGAGACAGGAAAATCGGGGATTCAAGACCAGCCTCAGCTACAGAGGGAGTTTGAGGTCACCTTGGCTAGTATATATTATTAAGATATAAGGTGTGTGTGTGTGTGTGTGTGTGTGTGTGTGTGTGTACAATAGAATTGTGGAGAACACAGTAAGCAAGAAAAAAGTTCAATCCAATAGAAGCAGAGAAACAAAAGGCAAACTCAGCTATATGTAATAATTGGGAGGTAGAACCACAACCATGTTAAGGAGAAAACCAGAAATTATTCTGGAAGTGAACTGTGAAGCTTGTGACCTGTAGCTCAGCTATTGCCCTTAGTCCACCAGAGTCTAGACCCTCTGATGACCCATCAGGGATGCTCAGTGTTTTGAAGAATGCTGAGGTGAGGGAGCTGGCCAGTCTTGCCCTTAAAGCTATCTACTTTGTGATCAAAACAAAACTACAAAAAGTAAGGAGAATGGAAGATTTTCAGATTCTCAGTGAAGCATTAGCATCAATTAAATTGAAGTAAATGGGACATGAGAACCCACAATGGAGAAGAAATTTTGATAATGAAGAGCCAAAAACAGATTCTCAATAACAAGGGAAACAGGGGAGGAGCTAGTAGGGCCACACCAAGAAGTAAGACCGCTAAACTGTCCTTAGAAAGAAGCAGCAAAGAATGCAGACCACAAAGATTCTGATATGGAATGCCCAAATTCAAGACCCAGCCTTCCACAGCAGAACTGTGACTAAGGAAGGGTCCTTTGACATCTATTCTAGAGCCACTCAGAACAGCCCATGGAAGCAGTTTCTTCCGGAATCCAGTTTTCTCCTTCCATGTTAGTTGTTGACATGTTGAAGCCCTCTTATTCAAGAGTTAGAAATAACTCTGAGAAGTAAGGAGAAAAAAGAGATCATGAATCATGCTCAGAAATGAAGAAGCATGTCTTATAGAACAAAATGGGATGTTCAAAGAGAAATAAAAAAACTACAGTTCTCTTAAGTTGATCCCCAAGTGGTAGGCAGAGTGCTGATTAATGTTTTGTTAATATTATAAATTGATTTTATCTTTATGTATGCCCTTGTGTACTAGGTATCAAGGCTCAGACTTTCAAAATAAAATTATGGCATCAAAGTGGTTGGGCAAAAAAAAGCAAGGCATGAAAGATCCTGTGAAGGGGGAATTTTCAAACACAAAATACACAAATAAATAATAAACAAACACAAAAGGCTCAACAAAACTGGAGAAGGTGGTGAGGCTTTGGCACTGGTACACCTTGTGTGCTGGTGTGTGGTGTGTTCTCACTGGACTGAAAGGTGCTGGGTGGTGGCCAGCCTTGTAGTTATCCCAGTGTGCAATGGCAGGGCTAAATAACAATAAAGTAAATAATTAGAGTGATAATATTTTTAGATGGATTGTGACATAGTCAAGTTTAAGAAGCACTAAGATATTGACCATAGGCAAAGTGAAGCCAGAAAAACCTCAAAGCAAAAAGTACAGGAAATATTTTTAATATTTTATTTATTATTTTTATGCGTATGAGTGTATTGTCTGCATGTATGCGAGTGCACCTGTGTCGTGCAATGCTGCAGAGGTCAGAAGAGGGCTTTGGATTCCTCTGGAACTGGAGTTAAGGACAGTTCGTAGCCACCATGTGGGTGTTGGGAATCAAACCCCGGTCCTCTGCAAGAGCAGTCAGTGTTCTTAACCGCTGAGCCTTCTCTCCAGCCCCAGGAAATATTGTTTAATGAAAGAAAATTAACAATGTAATAACCATAAAGAATAATGGCAGCTGTTTATACTCAAATCTATACAAGGAGTAAAAACAGAAAGTTCCCTTGTGCTAAAAATAGATGATGAAATACTTATTCTCTGAGCTGGAAGGACTCTTAACAATAGTTCTTGAGTATTAGTTTTTCATTTGGAAGAGGGGGTCTGCCTTCTCCTATTAGACTGTACACCCCTGAGTGGTAGTACTAAACTGGTTATATGTATGTTCACAGCCCCACCACAGAGTACACAAGTGCCTGCAGAATGTAGCACTGGAAATCATATTCATTAACTAAATGAAAAACTTACTGCATTTATGAAAATATGTGTTTGATAAATATCCAGAAAAGCAGAGCCGTCCGTGGTTAATGGACAAATGTCAATAGGGAATAGACCCCAGATGTCCTTTTTGTAAGGTCAGTGCTCTCCTTGGCAGCTTCTTTCTTTCATGCACCGTGTGGCTGCGAAGTAAGAGTCAGCTGCACGGGTCCCCATTCTCTCACTCTTGGAGATCTCAGTAAAAATCTCTCTAATTCCTAGTCTACCTCTCTAAGGAGTGAGTGCTGTGATTGTATAAAATCCCTTGTGCAATTTGTCAGTTGAAAGAATAAAACCCTATTCTAGGATAACCCTTGCAAGAAGGAGAATTCCCGCAACCAGTCTGAGTTTCTAAGGAAATACTGAACTGAAACCACCTTCCAAGATCATCATCCATAGGCTCATCAATTGATGCTTTGAAATAGTTGAGCAATGTCCTGACAATTGTCAAACAAGGAAAAGAACTGCCCATTAAAAAAACTATTACTTAATCTGACTTTTAAAAAAGTAGTATAGAATTTTGAAGACAGTGAGTTCTGAAGGACTTTAACTCGTATCTGGGTTTTGCTAGCAGGATTTTTGCTTATGTACACAAGGTGTCTGCTTAAATCAAAGCCAGCATTTGCCTTTCTATCTTTAGGGCTGTTTACTAAAGTAAATGTGCTTCCAACAAGGGTAAAAATTTCAAAAGCCACAATTCAATTCTCAAGTAAGCAAAACTCAGATTTATGCCTAAGTCTGATGGAAACAGTCTCGAACCTAATCTCTCCAGACTCAGCAGATTAGAGAAAAGGCCAAAGACACGGTATGAGTGTGTGCCTGCCATGGTCCCTCCTTAGCTCCCTCTTCTTGCTGGAGCAGCTCCACAGCCTCACAAACACCTCAGGATTAGCTGATCCAAAACAGCCCTAGGTAAACGTACCATCTGTCCAGGAGATTAAAGTCCTTTTTGCGTACAGGCTGCCTTCTTCTGCAAAGCTAATCCATGGTGCTGTGTCCTCCACAGGCACAATAGAGTTTTTCTTTATGTCCCTCCCTCCTCTCTTCATTCATAGCCATCACGCAGCACCTGTTGCAGACTCAAAGAAGAACAATCTACATCATCTGTTTCTAGTCTACAACTAGAACGAGACTCGTGCTTTCACCTGCGTTCTTAGTAAAAATCCCAATAAATGTGATCCTATGTAGTAGGGTTTCCTGAACTTAGAAGAAGTGGCACTCAGATATACATTGAGTGATAGATATTATCGTCCCCAAGCTGGTCAACTGGTAGTGTTTGCCTTATGTGCCCTGGGTTCACTCACCAGCATCACACAGACACAGACACACACACACACACACACACACACACACAGATATTATTGTCCCCATTAGAGATGGTACAGGAACGCTAGAGAGTGTGTCATCCCTAAGATCACACAGCTGGTGAGGAATCACATGACTCAAATCCAGTGATCCTGCTTCCTAATTAAAGGCTCTTTCATTGCGCAAAGCAGTGTTTCCGTATTTCTTTCCAGGTAAGTGAAGGAAGATAAATGGCTTATGTCTGTTATAGAAGCATACATAGGGTTTCTCTCATCTCAGTCTCCCTTTCTTCATTTCAGTGAGACTTTAACAAGGAACCAAAGTCCTAGAGATGCATAATTTCAGCCCTTCCTATTCTGAAAGGCACAGAGTGAAAGGAGCCAGTCTGCACAAGCTCTGACACCTGCTGTATTCCTTCCGGAAGGTGTCTTTGCCCTGACTCCTGCGTTTGACCTGAGGTGTCCTGATTCCAACTAGCCACATTCATGCCTCCTATCAAGTTCCATGGATTGTATTTACAGCAGGAATTCCTGTCTGTGAGTGTAGATTAGGCTAGGTGTCAGGAATTTATTTTCTCTGATTTCCTTTGCAGAGGGGCAAATGTGGAAGTTGATTCTTTTCTGATGGGGGAAATATAGATCTAAAAATGAGTGCTTATGGGGATTAGCCTTGGAGCAAGGTGGATTTTGTCAGAGTAGGACTGGATCAAATGCAGCAGCAACTCCATCCAAGGAGTGACTGTGGCTCTAGAATCTTGCCCTCTCCTAGAGGTCAAACTCTGTGTGTGTGTGTGTGTGTGTGTGTGTGTGTGTGTGTGTATGTGTGTATGTGTGTGTGTGTGTGTATGTGTGTGCTCATGTTGTATATTCACCCACACATAAGATAAACCAAAGACCTTAGGGAAGTATTCTAATCACTTGAAAACTGAAAACCAAGAACTTAAAAAAAAAAAAAAACATTTCTTTAGTATAAAAAATTTTGAGAGGAAATGTAAAAGAACAGAAAAATATTTTTGCTGATTTTAGAAAAATCTCTCAAATAAGAAAATATTCATTTGAACTCTCCTTACTTACTGGGGAACAAAGAGATTAGATGTATTTCTAATGATCTAGAGTGGGTTGCCTGTCTCACCAGATGTCAGGAGCAGAGAGAGAGATTCACTACACAAAATCCAGACCAGGTTTTCATTTCTTTCTCCTACCAACCTTTACCAAAAGCCTAGAGACTGGTGAAAGGTTCATTTCCCTTTCACTTCCCAGTGGGAGACACACTCAGGCAATATGGAAAGGTCAAAGGGGAAAGGTTGTCCATGGGGCTTGAGGAGAAGGAAGAGGAGGAAACTTGGAAAGTAAATTACCTCCTTTAAAAATCAGATGGCCTTTAGTTTCATTCTTCCAAAACACCCACATCTGCAAACAGTCTCCTCTACCTCTCCCACTCCAAGCACAAAGAAACAGAATGTTCTTTAACCAGATTATCAGGGTAAAAGTCACTCACCAGAAGCTGCTCCTTTCTTTCTCCTGACTCCTTGTCATCTGTGCTCCACCACAAAGCTCATGGTGGTGCCGTCAAAGGAAGGGGGAGCAATGATCCGTGGCCCCAAAGGCTGTGAAGTAATGCTGATGACAGGTTTGCCTTGCAGCTGGGCAAAGCCCTTGGCCCCCACAAGCTGGGATGTGGCCGCTGGAGCTGAGGAGGAAGAGGAGGCAGGGGACTGACCAGAGGCCATGAAGTAGGGGGCCTCGGTGAATGATGTAGCTGCCTCTTTGCTGGGAGTCTCTGCTGTCATGGAGAGCTCACTGCCCCCTGGAGCGTGAGCTATGGGTGTGGGCTGCAGGGCATTGGGGGGCAACACCGTGGGCAGAAATCCGGGGTAGATCATATAGGTCGGTCCATAGGCCCCAGGACTCAGGGCCAGCGGGGGCACAGGTAGGGACATGGGTGCCACAGCCTGCTGCTGGGAGGTCATGGGCACATCCACATACTGCCCAGTCTCAGGGTCAAACAATCTCCTGGTCATGGGTTGGACTGGAGTGTCCACCAGATAGTACTGGCCAGTGGTCACATCCAGAAGCATTTTACGCTGAGTTTGCTGTGGCTGTGGCTGCTGAAAGGGGTCAGTGGGGACTGTGGCTGGAGCTGCAGGTGCTGGGACTGGCATTCCAGGTGGGGAGAAGCAGAGGACCTGAGGCTGGGCCCCCTGGAGTGTAAAGGGCAGTGCCTGCTGGTGGTAGACAGCAGTAGGAGGATGCTCAGGGCTCTGTGGCCCTGTGGGGGCAGTGACTGTCTCTCGGGGGTTGTCAGGTTTGGTACGCCAAGCTGGCTTGCTGGTTCCACTGACCTGGGACCCTTTGGGACTAGTGGGGACCTGACTGCGGGCACTCAGTGGAGGTAAGCTGCAGAGAGTGGCAGCCGAGGAGATGGGGGGCCCCTCTCTGGCAGCCCCAGGCCTGCCAAGCAGCTCCCCTGAAGCAGAGCTTCCTTTGAGGGGAATGGTCAGGTAATTCTCACAGTCACTATTGCTCTTCTCCAAACTGATGCCACTTTTCCTGTTGCTGGCCTCATCTGTAGGTGCTCTGGTAGCTGGGGAGATCTTGAGGGACCGGAGTCCTTGTGACTTGATGCCCTTGGCTGTTGAAGGGCTCTCTGGAGAAAGCCCTTGTGGGAACTTGCCGGCAACACCTCCAGTTTTCTGTGTGCTACTGGCACTCACTGTGAACACATTCCTGTTGCTGGGGAGTGGAGGAAGGGGCTGCAGGGGTTGGGTTCGCTCCACATCTTTATTGACTGGGGGGATGTAGAGGGACCGGGGCCTTTCTCTGGCCATGTTCTCGAAGGCAGCTGCCCGGGCAGACACACTCTCAGTACTGGGGTTGGAGTTTCTCCGCTGCAGACGTTCTAAGGGGGCCCCTCGCAGGACCACACCACCTTTGTGTCCTGTGCCCCGTTCTTCCACCTCCCCCAGCCGTTTGGCCAGCTTATCAGGGTCTCCTCCGGGACCAGCTATCCCTTCCCTCTCCTCACTGGCAATGAGTGACAGGACATGGCTGTCAGCCATCACAGGCAAGGGGTCGCTCTTGCGCTTCCACTCATTCCTGTGGAAGCTGTACAGTTCCTCCATGGACCTCACGGCAGCTGTGAGCTTCTCCAGGGCATTCCGAGCTGGCTTTGGGGCTTTCCCCTCCTCCTTGACATCTTCTTCTTTGAGCTTCTCTGGGGTCCTCTGAGCAGAAGTCTTGGAGACAATCTTGAGCACAGGCAGGTAAGAGCCCTGTTCAGGTTTATTAGGTGCAATGGTGGCCACGGGCAGCCTGCCCGATGCCCTATGAACCAAGACTGTTCCTTCAGGGGAGGAGTTCAAGACCCTACTGCCACTGCTGGCTTTGCCCACACCTTCCCTGGGTTCTCGGTCCACATTGTCTTCTCTCTGGTTCACGATTGCCTGGCATGTAATCACTATTGGGGACAAAGATCTGGATCCACCAGCTGCAGCCACCAGCTGCCTGGGATTGGGCCCTGTCAGTCCCTGCTCTGGGGTGACACTGCCCTTGTCACTGCTATCTCCTGATCCTTTAATTAGTTTTCTGACATCTCTCACCTGGTGGAGAGGCCCTTGGGCTTTGGACTTGTCTCTGACATCTCTCACCTGGAACTGGGGCACTTTTTCCAGATTGTCCCCACCACGGAAGAGTTTCTGCTGCGTCCTGCTGTTGTCTTCAACCGTCTTGAAGAGGTTCGAGGTGCTGCCTCCGGCCAGCTTGGGTGTAAGCAACTTGGCAATGTTGAAGTCACCGCTTGGCTGTTGTACACTCCCCAGCCGAATCTTGATTTCAGGAGCCTTGGGTCTGATCACTGCCATGGAGGTGGCCTGGGCAGCAGCAGGGTACTTGGTGGCCTGCTTCTCTGGCTGCTTGTCCTTGGGTGTCTGCTGGATATTGGGGACGAAGAGGCGAGACATGATGGTAGACTTGCTGGCAGAGATCTCCCCAAGATCAGCCCTCCAGTCCCCGCCTTTGGGGAGCTTCAGCTTCCCAATGGGGGCTTTCTCCTCGCGCTTCTCAGCTTCTTTCTCCTTCCATGTCCGGAAGGCACTGTTCTGACTGCGGAGGAAGATCCCCTTCACAGTCTCTGAAGCGCTCTTCTTAATTTCACACACTTCTATGTGTCCATCAGAGACATTTCGTCCAGAGCCTGCGCTGCTCTCTCGAGGGGTGCTGGCTTTGAAAACTGGGGATTTAGACCCAGCAATGGACCCCTCTCCAGCTCCATCAGACACGCTCACCACAGTGTACTCAGAGCCCGTCTCAGAGTGTCGAGAGCTCTGCCTCTGCAGACCCCTGTCCCGCTGCTTCTCGGCCCCGGGAGGCCCTTCTGCCTCCTTGGACGTGCCAGGGAGGTTGCGGTGGGATGTGTCAGTGACTTCTCCCCTCTCCATTTTGAACTCATGCTCCCGCTGCATCTTCTTGGAAATGACATTTTTGAGCAGACTGGAAGCAAATTTGGACTTCTTTTGGGGGCCGCCACTGCGGGAGGCAGGCTTGTTGCTCTCAGATGCCTCTGAGCCGTCATCTGTGTACACGGACCCCGGACCCTTGCTGGAGCCTTTGATGATCTTGCAGGGCCCAGTAGCTGAGCTGGCTTTGCTTTCACTGCGTAAATTCAGGGGTTCCAGCAGCGTGACCACGCGGGAGCCAGTCTGAACCTGTTTCTGGAAACACAGAGGTGTCTCCACGTGTTTAATTTCTCCCTCGACTTTGCTGACCACGAACTCCAAGGCCTTGGTCTGGGACTTCTTGGACTGGATGTAGAGCTGGTCTGCAGCTGCCCGAGCAGCACCACCCTTCCTCAGACCTGCAGCCACGGAGGCCGCACTGCTCCTGAGAAGGCTCTGTTCCACCCTGGCTCCAACTCCTCCGCATTTTAAGTCCAGAAAGGTTGACCAGCGTCCAAAGCCCACTTCGGAGAGTGTGGTGGAGGATTCTCGGGAACTGATGTTCAGAGCCTCAAAGTAGGGGTAAGCGAGACTCCGGAAGGCCCGAGAGGTCAGGTTCCTCACTTCTTTGTCTGCATCGTCTAGCTCGCTCACCGCACTGGAGGCTCCACTGGAATAGTCCACCAGCTCCTTTGCCCGGATGGCCCCGCACCTGGTTTGCAGGCGAGCAGGGACAGCAATGAATTTCTTTGCATGGTCCTGAGCCACGGCTGCAGCCGAGTTTTGCTTCAGTGAACTTGAATTGTGTTCAGCAGCTGTAGAGACACGGAGGCTCATGTCGCCTTCATGCTTGGCAGCATAAATAATGTTTTGCTTTGCACGCACGTTGCTAGGCTCATTTATAGCCCGGGAAGTTGGCTTGATTGATAGGAGGATCTGGCTTGCTGCACTCCCGCAGCTGCTTGTGGCAGCGGCGGGTGCCCCTGAGGCTGCCTGCGGGAGCTCCAGCAAGGGCTGAGAGGCAGTGCCAGGCCCAGTGGGTGGGGGAACAGTGTCACCGTCAGAGGGGCCACTGCCCACTTCCGTGCTGCTGGTGTCGGGACCACTGCTGCCTGCTCTGGGGCGAGCCAGGTCGCTGCTGGTGGGGCTGGGCGTCCGGGTGGTGTTAGTGCTGGGAGTGGTGCTGAGGTAGCAGCTGTTCTCATCATCTTCTTCGGTGGGGGTGGTGATGTCTCCCGGGGTCTCGTCACTGCCACCAAAGGAAGCATAGTCCACGAACGAGTAGATGACGTTGTTGTCCTCGAAGTCCCAGCGGGAAGCCAGCCCCACGTCGAAATCCATGTCCTGCTCTACCTCACTCAACTGGATCTCATGGGTGGTGATGTAGTGTGTCTCCTCATTTCTCGGGGGGTCCCTCTTGCCCTGGGACTTGGCAATAATGTCTTTGCATTCTGCTCCATCTCTGATCCCTCCTCCTCCTCCTTCCTCCCCTGCTCTTGCTCCACTTTTCACCCCTTCTCCCTTGGGTTGGCAGCCCATTTCGGTCTCACTCTCAAAGCCTAACGATGAAGAGGAGGTGGTCAAAGCCCCCAATAACCTGGTACGATCATCCGTTTTGGAAAGGTCATCCTCTTCTGCTCGGTCCACAGGGGAAGAGGAGGAAGAGGAGAAGTCACCACTCTCACCAGTGCTGCGGGAGCCGGGGTGTTGGGAGGAAGAAGGACTCTTCCCTGGCATTGGAGCCTCACGCTCATGACTGCTGGCTTCAAGTTGGGCTTTTCCGTTTGGGCCCTTCGAGGCCTTCTCCCCAGGGCCGTGCTCCCACGGCAGTTTCGTGGTCTGGGGACTCTCCCTCCGGACCCCAGCTGAAGCACACATCTCCACATACTTAGCTTCGCTCTGCGAGAAGGCTGAAGGCTCGGGAGGCGGCCGCAGCTGCTGCCTGCGCTCAGGGCTGTTTTGAGCTCGGGTCATCGGGTCCTCCGTAGCCACCAGGCTGGCTTGAGAGTCCAAGTCAGGAGTGCCGTCTTCCATTCGGAGCCCCTGTCCAGGTTTCAGCGACAAGAAGATGCAGGGGTGAGCGCCGGGACTCTCCTGGGTCCCCCTCTGGTCCTGGAGGGGCCGCAGAGTAGCCTGAAGCAGGGTCCCACGTGCCTGGGCTGGCCCCAGGGCTGTAGGTACCACTGCCACAGCTGCCACCACCGCCCAGTTCTTCAACCCCTGCGATGGGGCCTTGACAAGCCGGAGGGAGGTGGGAAGACTCCCGGGAGAGGCAGCAGTGGTGGTCTGTGGCCAGGGGGCTGGGGCTCTGGCCGCGACTGTGGCCAGTGTCGTGTTGCTGAGCTGTCCTGTCCAGTTGCTTGTCTGGCACCGGCGGCTGGGGGTCTGAATGCCATCAGCCACCAAAAAAGTAGCATCTGCGGGTCGACCCTGGGACTGCCAGAAATGAAAGGAAAGCATGTGCTGTTTCTTGTGCAGCCCTGTCCCTTTCCTGGATGGGGCAAGAGAGGGTCACGTCATTCCAGAAATATTTTTAGTGTCCATTCCCTAGTCATATCAAAACTACACTTGAGGGTAGAGGGAAGAGGCTGTGAGGAGATGAAGAGAGGAGGTGGGGTAGGCGAGGCATGTGGCTTCTAATTCAAACCTGCCAAATGTTCATTGTAATCTGTTACAGAGCCTAGTCTAGCCAGTGGGCAATTATGCTCAGCTCGCTGCCATCTTTCTCCAGCCTCTGATTAAGTGGATTTTCTCCCCTTGTTCTTAAACAAAATTCAAATGTTGCACTGCACTTCAAATCAATTAAGAACACACTGTCTCCCTCATGTTTTATATTTGCCTCAAGATCTGCACATTTTCTTTCTCTGGAGAACAAAAATCAGATGAGCCTGGATAATAAAAGTTTTCATAGGAAAAGGATATTTCATTCCTTTTTCCCCAAACCTTGAAACATAACCTGTTTGTTTCAAAATAGGAAGAATCCCTTCTACAATCCTTACTGTGCTGCTCAAAGGACAATTTTCTAAGACCTAAAAATTCTTTAAATAAACTCTGAACTATAGTCATTAAAAAAGAAGCACATCAGGGCAATATCAACACTACTTCAAATCCCTACAATAGCTACTTAAGCGCAAAAACATTCTCTACATTTGTAAACCCATGGCAAGAAAATAAGCCCCCAATTAAATATAGCCTAGGTTGCAGCTCTACCATGGGGTTCCACTGGCTGCATTCCAGGCCTGCAGGGCACCAAGTCAAAAAAGCAGGAAAGAACAACGAATACACTTACCCTTCATGAGTACAGTGCGGCTTGGAGGGAGGTTCAGAGAGGAAATGTGAGCCTCCGGCATGCCCCATGGAAACACAGCCAAAACCCCAGTTCACTGGCTCTGAGATACATCCATTCCAGACAAGTCAAAAGTCATGCAGGCAGCTCTGCCAGGCAACTCAAGATGGGGGTCTGTGCTGGCCACCCTTGGGGCAATTCCCTGGGCACTGTCCCTAGAGAATCACCACTTGGTTTGGGTGAGATCTGGCCCTCCTCACCTGCCAGGCCCAGTTCCACCACTATACATAGTCTATGTGTCACTCATGCCGAGTGAATAAAGCCCTATTTTAAACATCCACATTTGTGGGAAACAAAAATAACGCTATCAACCATCCCCTTCTGACATGAATGCCACCCCCATACTGAAAAGTGTTCCTTCCTCTGAGTAGGCATGTGGGTAGGTGGAAAATAGGAGCCCCTAACAACTGCTTCTACCTTCTCCCTTTTGAGATGTAGTGCAACCCAGCTCTACCATTCTCCCCAGGAAAACTCCCTCTGCCCTCACTACTCCCAATAAAAGCATGGCATAAGGAGCCACTTGAAGCAGCAGGAGTAATAATATGGATTTAAAGCCAGAACTCAAGGTGAAGAGAAAGAAATAGAAAGATGCCCCCAAATCTTAGATTCTTATATAAGTATAAATGACATTTATTTTTAAGCTAGCAATATTTTAATGTATGTCTATATTAATGTATTTAATCTTGATAAGGACCTGGTGAGTTAGATATAATTACTGTACTGATTTTAGATAGATGGGGAAACTGAGACACAGATGTTAAGAAATTATGGGACAGAATTCAAGTCTAGGCAGTCTGGCAAGAGATCTTAGCAGTTATAACCCAGGCTTATAAACACCCACAGTCAAGTACCCTACAGGACACCCATGTATCATTTAGGAGCAACTTATTCACTTGGCAATTCCATATGACTTTTTTGGGTTCGTTTTGGTTTTGTTTTCATCAACCTTTGAATACATTATGGACTCAAGGATTTAGAATTGTGATCCTATTAATAAAATGAAACATAGTAGACTTGTCTCAGGCAACAGAGTGCTTTCAGCTCCCCATTTTAACTTTGCTTTGAGGCTGACCGTGCCTTGGCCAATAAACCCTGAAGACTGGCTCAGGCACTGTGAGGCATGTACGTTCCTTAGCTGAATGGGAGGCAGAGTTTGTGTCTATCAAGCAATTAATCTGAGGAGGAGTAGTTCCAACACTTTCCATATGGCCCTGTCTGTGACAACACAACAGATTTTAGCTGGCTTTCTCCCTGCTGTTGGCAAAATATAAAATTGGGAGGTCAGATGTCCTGGGTGTAAGTTAAATCATAGTTATTTAATACCTGGAGTCCTAAAACTCTCCCTCCAGAGCCCTGCTCCCTCAGTGAGCACAGCCCTGGCCCAAGCTCCCTGAAAGGGCAGATAAAGCATATTCTAAAATGGGTAAAATGGGTACTTACCTCCAGAATATTTCTGTGGGTCCTTTATTGCTTTCTATTTAAATAATGCCGGGATAGGTGAAAAAAATTAAAGGGAAAATTCCCTCAAATAAGGTCAATTTCCAAAAAATTTAGTTTACGTTAAGCCACAAATTACTTTAAGAATCAAACAAGCTGAAAATCTGGATTAAGATTGACTCTATTGAAAGAAAAGTCTATACATAGAAAAACAATGGCCAACTTTAGGATAAAGAAGATAATTAGGAACTCCAAGCTGTTTGTCTTCTGGCATTGTTCAGAGTTCTGGGTCAGTTTATGTTACTATGAAGATGGGAGCTCTCGAGTCTTGAAATAACTCAGTGATTGGTAGTTACAGTGCCTTTTATTCCTTCATATGACTACTATCATTTTTTTTTGCAGATGAACTCAGTGATTGCCTTCCTGATCTCAACTCTTGAGTAAGTAACAATGACTAATATTTCCAGTATTAATCCATGGTAAGTGGGCACATTTGGCATGCCAAGCAAGGTAGGCCTAGCTGATAACTTTAGATGGGAATTCTGAGAGCAACAAAGGAAATGACTCAGCACCATTATTTTTATCTCTGTAGAGAAAGTTTCTTAGCATTCTCTGAAAGTCTTCTGAGATAGACCAGAGCATGTAAACGTTAACATGGTCTAAGAAATTAAACATGAAAGCCAGGCCACCCACCAGTTATCAAAGGATTTGGTTATATTTAAGGTCTCCAATCATGGCATAATATGATACATAGTATGATATAGTGTCATTAAAAAGGACAATAGTTTATTGAAGGTAGGCCATGAAGCTGGAAGAGATGGGTCAAACTTAGCTTCAAGTCAGATGTCAAGCACTTGACAAAGCACAGGCATTCTTAGTTTCTCTGGGATGCAATGGACACGGAGCAGTTCTCTGATGGCTTTATTTTTATGAAAGATTTTCTGTAAAGATGTGTATAGCTATTAGCACACATGTATGTACCGAAGGCTTTTCTGATGGCCACTACCTAACACCCAGGGTGTGGTGACCTCTTTCTCTTCTGGTGCAGATAAGGATTACATCATAAAGAAAGGCACCTTGGGTTTGTGAGGTGGGGTCATAGGGTCATGCCCACTGATGGCCAATTAAGCTGTTCTACAGCCTCAAGCCAGCTGCCTTCCCACAGGACCAGCTGGTCACCATGGAATCCAAAACGTGGAGAGGCAGGATTATAATAAGACTATCCCTCTGAAGAGAAAAACAGCATGTACCACAAGGATGAATCAGTAGCACTACCTTCTTGTTTGAAGAAGAGCACGTTGTCATAGCATCGTGCCATGCACACTCTAGTTGCAACCCCTTAGCCATGCCCTTAAAACTTGGAAGGACAGGAAGGAACAGTTCACCACCAGAAATAAACTCTTATTAACAAACTCTGGAGCCTGCACACAGAGGCCAGACATGGTACTGAGCAGTTGTTGACTTTTCTCTTTGAGCCAGGACGTATATCAAAGAATCAGTCTCCTTGCTCAGCTTTCTGGTTTTGTTTTTTTTTTTTTTCTTTTTTGGACATCTCTTAGACCTTCTGCACTCCCATAACCTACTGCCACTCCCCTCCTCTTTTTCCCAGCCCCTGATTTATAGTATCATACAACAGCTTCTATCTGGTTTTTCCCCTGAGGGAGCTGTGGAGGTTCTAGTATTTCAGATCTTACTGGGCAAAGAGAAATGATCCCTTGCAGACCACCCTCCAGTGAAATATCAGTAAGCAGATAAACCTCTGTACAACACTACTTAAAATAGTCTAAATCTTGGTCCATCTTATGGAAGACCTGTCCATCACCTGGATGGTATGTTATATACCCAGAGAGGGGAGGGGCCGTGGGGCCTCCCCAGCCTGGGAGCAGAGGGCGGGGAAGAGGCTTCGTCACTGTTGCCAAGTTATGAATTTTCCCAGGTCAGTGTGGAAACAGGATATAATCAACTAGCTGAATGTGCTGCCTATGTATAGAATCACAGAAGTGGCATATTTCCATGATTTTTAGAAAGAATTTTTGTTGTTCTTTTAATTCTTGATGCTGCATTTGGGGTCCTAAAATACTTTCGTGTTTGTCTGCTTTGGAAAATGTGTGTAACTAAAATGGTACTCAGAATGACCATGGCATGTCTCACAAGCCTGTATGTTACATTATCGTCAAATTACTTAATAAATTTTTGAACTGACTTTTGGCCAAAGTTTTCATAGACCTTTAACTCTCTGCAGGCAGGGATCGAGTCTGACTTGCTTATTGTTTTCATTCCAACACAAAAAAATGGCCTTTCTTTATTTCTCCTCCCTACCCACTTCATTCACTTTCAATAATAGGGATTCAGCAAATATTTTTATCTTACATTATTGAATCAGTAATTAAATAATTTACGACTTTGGGATGACTGAACACAAACTACCAAAGTCATTTAGGGAAAACCCTTACTAATTGAATAGCTAAGAATGGTTTATAAACAAAGCAGCAATGTATTTTGCCCTATGAGTAGTATTAATGTAGTTTTAAGGGGCTGGAGAGCTGGCTCAGAAGTTGAGAGCACTGGCTGTTCTTGCAGAAGACCCAGTTCAAATCCCAGCCCCCACAGGGCAGCTAACAACTGTCTATAGTCTGTAACTCCTGTTCCAGGGGGATCTGGCGCCCTCTTCTGACCT